GTTCTCTCCCCTCCATCTTCTTCTCTCTCCCTCTCCTTCTCCCTCTCCCTTGCTCTCCCTCTCGTCGTCTTGTTCTCCCTCCCTCTTGTCCTCCCTCCCTCTTACTCTCTCTTCCTCGCTCCCTCGCCCTCCCTCTCTCTCCCTCTCTCTCCCCCCTCCCTTTCACTCTCTCTCTCTCCTCCTCTCCCTACCGTCTTCCTCTCTTTGCCTCTGAGATTCACCATCCTTCCCCCTCTCTCTCTAACCCCTCGCTGTCTCTTTCCCCTTCAACCGCTCACCCTTTAGCTTTGCCGACCGCTTTTGTCTATGTTATGCATCACGCATTTAACTGGGTTTTTACCAGACAAATAACATCAAGAGATCCAGAACCCTACCAACAGGTGAGATTGTATAGAAGACTTATCCTTTCCGCCTTTTTCATGGATTCTTACTAAAGGACGGTGGTTGGGAAAAAAACATCTTACGTTGTTGGCTTAGGAGTTCTGTGCAGTTGATGCTCCTGAGGACGCGGCCTGAACAGAGGAACCTCTCTCTGAGGGCGAAGTTTCTGTTTCGCGGAGTAGGTTAGAATATGTCTATGAACCTCATTGGAGGACTTCTGAGGGTGTGGACAGGGCTCAAAGGCTGTTTAATGACAAGATGTAGACCTCGATCAGGAAGTTAGGGGCCAGGGACTCGTGCTGCCATCGACAGGGTTTAGCTCAAGATGTGTGCTGTGACTTGTATGTGTTTACAGTATTGTTTGGAGAAAAGGGAATATTTGAAGTAAATAAAGATCTCGGGGGATGGGATAAGATGGACTGGTGCTCAAGATTTCTGTGAGCCCTTTGTGAGGATGACACGATTGAGAAATGCTCAGGACTACAAAGTAGTACAAACTGAGGGAAAAATGATGACATCAACAAGAATCAGCATTTTAGGTGTGCGCTCTTTTCCTGTGCAGTGGTTGTGATGATAAGCATCACTCGATATGATGGCTCCAATGGTGGGGAATGTGATGAAGGCAGCATGCATGTGCATCGGGTTCTGGGTTCTTTTTCGACCTCGTCGCAAGTTTACTCTTCTTGTGTTTGTTTGCCTTGTTTTCTTGTCATTTTAAGGAATCAGAGTTGATTGATTAGTTACGAATCTTTGCTGGCCGTGAACGGGTGTCGTGCAGGAAAGCTGCAAATGGATTTCTATTACACCCGGTTCATTATCGGATTCATGTTTTCTTGCAAGAGTTTTGTGCGCGTCTTGCACGGTTGTCGTTTGTCACTGAAACGCCAGAGTGTGAATGAATGCATCGATTCTCAACTCAAGATTCACCATTGGTCGAGCTCAAGTCCTTCAAAGAACATATTTGTACTGGGACCTTTTAGGCTTGAATCTGGTCCTGATTACGGCAGCATACGTCCAGGAAAATCCTCTGATTATGCATGTCGTTCCATTCCCTGCAGGGGGCTGTCGTCAACCAGTTGCGAGAGGAGTTGAATCGGCTGCGTGAAGAGCTTCGGTCTCAGCAGGTGGAGAGGAATGATGGACTTTTGCCGTCTTGTCTAGTCGTTTGATTTTCTCCTTTGCATACTAGGCAACAGTTCCATGCGTATGTCATTTTGTGTGGAGAGGAAGGGGAAAGCATCAGCTCCTGAGTTCGGCCCCCCGAGGACCAGAAGGTCTCTGAGATCCACTGGGAAGGAAGGGTGCTGATCTGTGAACCCACATCCGTTTATGTGTGAGTTCATTTGTGCTTGGGAGGGTGAAGGTGGTGGGGGGCAGGAGGAGAGGGGGGTGAGTGGAAAAATGGACAGCTAACAATCAAGTAGAAAGCTAGGTCCTCACGAATTCTGTGGTGGGCTCTCGTGCACAGAGGGATTTCTCGACATAATGCACCAGTTTAAAATGACGAGTCTCCGTTCAGTGAAACATCTCTGGGAATGCTGTTGTAATCGTGCTCTCCACGGAATATCTTTCTGTCCTAGGCAGTACTGCCTTCTGCGTGTCATTGTCACATGAAATGACCATTGGATGAGCAACGTCAAATGGCCAACTCCCTTGTCACACGTGCTCCATAGGAAACCATGTTCATTATGACGGTCTGACTACCTGCCAGTTTGCCTGCCTGTCTCATTGGTGATAATTGATGTAGAGTCAGTGTATACGTTGGTGTAAGAGGAGTGGCCAAGCCTTGTCTGGTGTTATGGTATGAACAGTGGAGGCTGGCATTCCAACATAGTGCAAGGGATTAAGGCAAAACCTGAGAAGCTCCGATACGGTATGTGATGAAATTGAAAGCAGTGGCGGTGCAGGGGCACCTTTTTCCCGTACCCTATGTCTGGTGCTGTCTTGAGGTTGAAAGAAAGCTGGTCTGCAACTGTGCTCCATTGTGTCTTTGCACACAGAAGAAGAAAACAGCTGCACTATCTGACAATCTGTCTTGAGTGTGTGGGTGGTGGTAATGATGACGAAGAACAGGAGGGTAGAAAGGAGGAGAATGGAGCTGGAGGACAAGAATAACATGCGGAGGTATGAGGAGCAGGATAACATGAAGAGGAGGCTTAAGAGTGGAGAGGGAGGGATGAAGAAAATAATGAGGAGCAGGATAACATGAACAGGAGGCTTAAGAGAATGAAGAGGGAGGGATGAGAAAAATAAGAAAGAACAGGTTGATCACTGGGCGATGGCTCACCAGGAAGAAAGAGAAAATGGAGTGTGATACGGCGGAGGAGACAGCCGCACTAGGGTTAGGATCTGGAGGGAAGGAGATTGAGGAAGTGAAGCAGCAGCAGCAGCAGCAGCAGATGGAGGAGGAGGAGGAGGAGGAGGAAGAGGAGGAAGAGGAGGAAGAGGAGGAAGAAGAAGCTTCTGCACACTGGACAGGCTTGTGCACTACAGCATTGAGGGGATGAAGATGGTGAAGAACAAGGGGACGAGGATGGATTTACTCTTTCACTCTGTTGTCATGTGCTGTGCCTAGAATGGAATGTTGAATGGAAGAGCTATTTGTTGATATTTGTGTTCTTTGTGTTTGACTTCCTCTCCTGTCGGTGCTGGCTTTCATTGTTGTTCAGCCGATCTCGCCCATCTGTTGGTTGAAGGAGTATGAAAGAGGCTGGTGTTTGCATGGGGACTCGTATTAGTGAGAGTTGGAGCTTTTGGATGTTTTCTGGAGCAGCATGTTGGATTTATGTGTGTGTTCGCTTCTTCTCAGGCAGTGCTGTCGTCATTACGAGCAGAGAAGGAGAAGGCTGTGGCAGAAAGTGGGGCTGTAGCAGCAAGGGTGAAGGCCATGGCGAATGAAGTGATAGTGCTCGAGGAGAAGGTGAGACGTCTGTCCAGCAGGTCACGTGCATGATCATGTGACCTCCATGACAGTAACAACCATTCGATTGGCATGCGTTTTCTCCAAGTGATTGCAGTTGGTCGAAGTTGTGGGAAATGGAAAAAGGCGGTATAGGTATTACGGGCCATGAAAGGTAGGGAAAGGGGGAAGGAAAAGGAAAAGGAGAAATGCTGGTCACGGGGGAAAAAATGTATTCGGCTAAGTGTATGTTACCTGAGGATTTGAAAGACTGTGATGTGGTTGAGGTGTAGGTGAAGTGATGTGGGGTCTGGCAATCTCGTTGGAGCCAAGGTTACCTGGCTGGGTGCTGGGGCTGCCTCTGACTGCCCAGATGCCGGCCGCGGCAGGTAATGAGCAACCCCAGATAACCCCAGAAAAAGGGGGGGGGGGGGGAAGGGGAATAAGAGAAACTGAACAAAATTGCGCTTCAAAGTTCAAGCAACTTTTCGCCGAGGGTCACTTTGGTCAAATTCAAGATGTAAACCAGGTTTGCATACCTGCCGACTGCCTACCCCGACCACTGACCGTATTGCAGTCGACCAGTGCGGCCGACCGGTCGGCGGTCTGCTGACCAGTCAGAAAACAGCCATCCACTTTTTTTTTTTGAAATCTGAATTGGGGGCTGTTCAGCGCTTGCTGAGTACAGCCCAAATCCGCTGAGAAACTTTTGGGGATGAGGGGGGTATGGAGGAGAGTATGGGGGGAGTATGGGGGGGGTACAGGGGTGGTATAGGGGCTGTCTCTTATACACATCTAGATGTGTATAAGAGACAGGTATAGGGGGCATTGGGGGCGGTATGAGGGTGTTGGGGGGCGGTTTGAGGGTATTGGGGGGGTGTCTGGGGGTATTGCGTCCGGGTACGGGGGTGTTGGTGGGGTTATTAGGGGTTCTGGACCCTTTATTTTTTTGGCGGGGTGCTGACGACCCCCAACCGGTAGATGCCGACCAGGAATCCGACCATTCAAGCTCCACTGACCGTCAGGGTATGCAACACTGATGTAAACATAAAAAATAGAAAACATCAATTTAAGGTCACCCCTCTAAATGCTTTTGAAGTTTGAAGCCATTTTAACCCTATTCACACCTCCAAACCCTCTGTACCTTGACCGATTCAAAGACAAGGCTGGATTCTGCTTGCTCAGGCCAAGGGCAGATCTTGCCTGAGATCCCCTCCCCTCTCTCCTCCACACCCTTTTCTTTTTTTTGGCTTGCCCGGGGTACTAGTGCAGTTGGGGTGTGGTCCACCTGGCCGCTGCTGCAGGTAACATAGGTTGGAACTTCATAAAAGAGAAGGCTGTCTGGAAAGGGAGTCTGGAATGATGATTGTAATGCATCCGCGCGGAGCAAAAATGCACGTAGGCTTGTTGGAGGGAAATGGTCTAAAGGGAAATCAAGGCAACTGCGTTGGTATAGACTACTATACAGTCCTCATCACAGATGCACTTAGAACGAGAAGCAAGATCCAGGATGGAGTAGCGGGCAGAGGGTTGGGTTGGTTCCTTGTCTAACAGCCGCACAGGATGTCAAAAGTTAAATAACAGGACTAAGAAAAAGGTCCTAAACAAATGAGGTCCGTGCTCATTGGAAGAGTTAGGATAGTTGGATGAAGGGCAATAGTCAATTCGCGTACAGGAAGTTGGTTGGGTGGAGTGCACGGGATCGCCGTCCCTTGGGAGTAAAATTTTGGGAGTGCATTTTGGGCTTGTTCAGGTAATGTTGGATGGGGAGAGTAGTTGATGATGGGGTGAAGGCTTACGTTTATTAGTATCTTGGGTTGACTGTGAGTGGTCCTCGCCTAAGGGTGAGGGTGAGGATGCGGGATCAGGGATGAGAGAGTGGGGATTTGGTCAGTCAGGTCGGAATGCGATGACAGAGGAAGCAGAAGGAGAGTCGTCACGATAGGGTTAAGGAGGTTGTCGAAGAGGAAGACGTTGAGGATGGTCCTAAAGTAAATGGGAGGAGGATATGGGTTGAGTACCCAATCTGAGGAGAACGTGGTGGGCAGCGCGGATTGGAACGGGGCCAATCACGATGTGGGATTGAGAGGAGGAGGAGGTTGGAATGTCAGACAATCAGGGTGAGGATGTAGGAACTGATGAAGTGCAGGGGAAAGAAGGCCAAGGCAACAGGGTAACGAATGCAGGTCGTGTAAGGGGATCTGGTCAAGATGGGGAAGAAGAGATTGCAAGGCAGGAAGAGGATCTCAGAGCGGAGGGGAGGGAACAGTTAAGTAAAGGAGAGAGCAGAATAGTGATGAAAGGCCTTAATCAGGAAAGGGACAGGGTATGTCGATATGCAGGTGATGCAGAATAATTATCGAGTATTGGAGGAGCAGGAGCTCGAAGGGTATCCTAACGGAGGAGAAAAAGGTGTGGAGAAAGACGAGAGGAGAGAGGCGACAGACACAGGACAAGGAGAGAAGAGGATCAGGAAAAGCGGATTTCTGGGGGGAAGATCAGGAGGGGGGATCCAGGGCACGAGTAGTAAGATGGAATTGAGCTGGCGGAAGGGAGGCAATGGAAAGGAAGAAAGGGAAAATTTTGAGTGGGTAGAGGAGGGGGAGGAGGGGGGGGGGGGGGGGGGGGGGGGGG